TGAAATAAACAATTTTGTTCATTAAATCAGAAACTTGAAAATTAAACCGTAACTGAAACTAATAAGTGGTATTTTTCGTGCCAATTTTCGCATGCGCGTTTAGTTTACCACATACATAGAACGCATACATACATAGAATAGTTCGGCCAAATATCCGGCTATTCGGCCACGCTCCTGACCGAATTAGCGTTGCAACACTAGTAAACATACTCTTTCTGTACCGATCTCTGGTAATAATAATAATAATTCCTTCCTTCGTTTGAATAATTATGTACATGTATGTATAATCGTCGACATGACCTCATGAGTTTAATTATATGAACGGAAAAAAATGCCGTCATAATAGTTAAATTGCGTTTATTATATTATATCTAACAGTTTTTTTTGTGACCAAAGGTCATGTATTGTAATCTAAATTGCCGATCGCCTGATTATTATAATTTATCAATTGAATAATATTAAATACGAAATGACGTGTATAACATATTTTACACTTGTATAATAAATCTTAACCAACTGTATACAACGGACTTGTTAGTTCTAACTGGGGTATAGGATACTTGGTGAATTATCAATAATATTGTCTAAAAGGTTACAAGGCGCTCTTATCCGTTAATAGCAGTATCATGAAATGAACAAATTTGATTATGAAATTGTTCTTTTTTCCGACGTTTCATGTCACTACGCATAAAAATACGCCTAGAGATGGTCTTGCAATATATTTTTATACGCGCAAATCAGGAGGTCTGTACTTTCGTCCTCTGTGTCGATGCTAATCGAAATTGTTTAAGGAAAATAAATAATTTTTCAAGTCGGATAGAGTCAGATGTCGAACATCGAGGGAGCAAGCCCAGTACCAATTCAGCGGCATTATGGATAACCTTGGTTAAGTTCCTAAGAAGAAAATAAAAAGCAGCAAGTATAAATTGACTTAATCATTTCGGTGCACAAATTAATTGATTATAATTAACCTAACTGTTCAACGGTCGTGTAGCAATAACTTAACGCTAGTGTAAGATAATCATAAGGCATATTCATCGAAGAAGTACTCCGTATTTTTGTGTATATTTACTATGGCGTTCCAACGAGTGCTAGATTTTACATTTCATCTAATTCGGTTTATTTCCGTAACACCAATTTAAAGAATCTATAGTACTTGTAACGGTGGTCAGACTATAGGTTTGACTTAACGGGAACTGTAAACCAATCATGACACCGCTCGGTTTTACGGAAATATTTCACTAATTCCATCTAATTCCAACTACGGATTCACCTATGAGATTGCGATGTCAAATTAAAAAAAAACTCAAATTGCTACTAGCAAACAAACTGTTTTAGTAAACGGTGCCACGAGGTAGCCTGAATTCATTATAAAACTTAAAGCGAACATTATTTTGATCCTCTATAGTACCGATATAATACTGCTAAAACTATGATATATCCCGGATGATATATATATGGTTCGGGAATTTAAAGAAAGCTTTTTTTTAATATATGCGAAAATGGTTAAATGTAGAACAGAGGCTAGATATTGTTAACAATATGTGGACTCTACTCTAAAGTTAATCTTGCCATTGAGAGCATTAATTCCCCTAGACTTAAACGCAATAAATTGCCGAGTGCGCAGGCGGCGGCCAGTTCCATCATCTCTATTCCCATTATCATCAAGCAACACAAACATTCAACTTACAATTAACTAGAGTATACAAATGACCGCTAAACCCTAATGAATGAAACATTTTTTGATCTGTATGCCTAATATAACTATATGAATATACAGAATGTTCCAACACAGTATACAAAACCACTTAACATGATTAAGGAGGAGACCAAAAGCAAGGACATTACTTAGGACGATTTAAACAAAAGACAGTAAATCTATACATAAAATGCATGTGTAGATTTTTTTTCGCTATGACCCAAAAACGGTAATCACTTCTGATCTGGTCAATAGTCATTTTCAATTAGTGTGCTGTAAATTGGGACACTCTGTATATATTCCTGTCTTTCATTTGTCTACGCACGTTTTACTACCAGCGACTGCTTACATTTCAAATATACTGCTACATCTAAATAATGTGAATTTATATTTATAAAGAAGCGAATCCTACGACACCGCCGCGTGCGCAGCGGTATTATCACAGCCAAATCGGCCGCCTGCCTGCCTGCCTTGTATCTCTGATACCAAGCCCCATCGTGTATTAGGCCTTTAATTGCGAATTTACCCTTGCAATTTAATTCTATTGAGCGTCTTACTTCATACGCAATAGTTAACACGTTTACTGCAAAATTTTCGATTGAATCTAATTTAACATATTAGATAATTCTTTAAAAATTTTGCAATTAGAGCTCGCTACATTTAATATATAATCATATTGTTACGTTCTCAAGTACCGGGTTATATGGTACTTAGGTATGTCGAGAACATATCAAATAGTCATAATGTAGTATATAACACGTAATTGTATGTATATTCTAGCTACGGCCGCCGCGGACGCCTCTCTTTAATACTATCAGTCTTTAGACAGCCACGTCCCACGCACACACACTTTTTAAGTTGCTATATGACTTTTGTTTCACTATATTATATAGTGAACTGTAGAGAAACCTGGTCCCCTGATCCTTTGCGTATACGAAGAATAGGTTTCTTTACCGCATTTTTCGCGTAATTATAAGTTTAACACGTTTTGCTACTTCGAGTTCCAACTAACTTGGGCTATACATAGGCGAGAAGGGCACAAAGTTATATTATATATATAGCACATAACAGAATTAACAAGTAAATTTTCTAAACTTTTCCCTTCCCGTTTCCTGTCTTCATTTATTCCTATTACCAAAAAACTCATATAATTACTTACTTAACGTATACACGATTTTTCCTCTCTTTCACCCACAAACCTACCTTATAATAAGTGTGAGCGGGACCACCATTATCTCCCTCGTTCTACCGCGACGGCACTTCGATGGACTTGTAATGAGTCTATACGTATTAAATCATGTTAAGCTTTCAATCAAGTGTTACGTACAAATCATAAACACCTAAATTCGCTCGCATAATTATACACCCGCAGGGAATAATTATAATATTTCGACATAGAACTGTATAACTAGTTATATGTAGATACAGCACTATGTCTCAGCATCGGAACTATTCGAGTTATATGGAAGCCGACGACTATATTGTAAACCTATTTCATCATCATAATCATCATCACCATCATCATCAACTCTTTTATACGTCCCAGTGCCTTCCATCATCGACGTGCAGGTTTCATAACGATGTTTTCCTCCACCGAAAACCTCATGATGAATTTCAAATTCAATTTCGCACATAAATTCCGAGAAACTTAGAGATGCGAATCCGGATTGGAACCCACGACTCTCTGCTTGAGAGGCTTAAGTTCCAACTATTAGGCTACCATGGCTTGATTCCATATTTCATACTAATGTATAATTTGCCATTTCAAGTATCTTGCTCATTTGTTGACTAGCACAACTAAAAGTTTGTCTTATGTGCCCAGATATGAGGTTAATATTAGAAGACTGCGCAGTACAATTTTATATTTGAATTATCTAATATTCATACCAGAATATCGCAAACATACTCTGATACCAAAGTTTCGACATAAGGTTCATATTTGGAGTTACGTTTTATTAGATAAAGATTTTCTTCAATTAATATTATATTCGTCTGTTTCCGTAAAACCCGAAAAAAATAGTCCGGTACGAAGGCCTTCACTTAGAAAACGTGATTCTACTTTGAGACAAAGTGTTTACACGATCTTATTTATAAAACCACAGTATTTCTTTCGATTTCAAAGAATGCATTTGCAATTTTAGCGTTCGATTTGTACGAACAATTAGACCCTCAATAATAAAGTTTCTTAATTTGAAAAGTAACATTTTTGGGAATCTGAAAAAGTAAATTAGAAGAAAAAACATACAAAAACAATACACCGTTTTTCATATCAGAAATAGAGTTTTGTTACATTTGCCACCAGTCAAACAGGTATATATAGGTATTATATCGACTGGCAACCGGTACTATCTCAATTTTATCAACTTTACACGACGAAGAAAAAAATTGTTTGTGTCATTTATATAGATCTTATTTATTAAATAAAAATATGTAATAAAAATATTTAAAAACTACGTATTTTTATTTAATAAATAAGATGCTACATATATGACGCAAAAACTTTTTTCTTCATCCAACTTTACAGGAGTAAAGTTGACAAAATTTAGATAGTACCGATTGCCAGTTCACAGTCGATATATTTATTATTTTGTCAGTTACCCAAAAATTACTTTCAGATATACGACATTTTATTATTGAGGGGACAATCTGATCATGTGTCAACTTAACACTTACTGCACCTTGACCACAAAAAAGTAGTATAAGATAATCGCAATGGCATTTGAACAGTATATAATGTTAATTACTGTAATTTAGACGGCTGTAGATATGAACGATCATATTTTCGGAACGTATTTTTGGCAATATGGGTTAACGCATTCCGTAATGAAGGTTTATGCATGCATTTGTGGTGACCAATAAATACACACAAACATTACAAAATAGTGCCATTGCGATACAAAAATTGATATATCGATAATTGCATCTCTTTTCTCAAATGGTTACATCTCTGTTTAACTCAAAAGCGACGCAATTACAAATGAAGTTTGTAATTATACATCCAAATTAACATACACAAACATTTGCAATATATGAAGCGACCTAAAAGACACCAATTTGTTGGACCAACTTCTCTACATTTGCATAGTATTATAAATAAATCAAAACATTTTTTTTTAATCTGTCTTTATAATGACTTAGGATGGCGCTACCATACAGATAAATGTATCGGCCTCATTAGCATGTATCTAGGTATGGGTAATTTCCAGGTTAGTATTCTCTACTTAATTTCGGTGACAATTTTGTTATTTAAATATTCTAGAATATTATCATGAAGTATTATTTCATAATCGAATGTTGTATCCTGAAATGTTATTTAATGTTTCACGATAATATACTTGAATACTTAAATAACAAATTTTACCACCGAAATTAGTTAGTGTATGCAAGCCGTTTAGATTCTGACCGAAAAATATTTACACGTTCTAATTGCGAATGAATGAACCCTAGGACCCCTTTTTCACTCTCAAAGTTAATGATGGTATTTTGCTTATTTACATCGGTTTCACTTTTATTTGCTATTTGACAGTAACTATATATTACTAGACACATGTGCATCTATTTAATCTATGTAGTATTTAGACGACCTCGGTGGTCGACTGGCTTGCATCAATGGTTTTCATGGTGTCGCTACGTCTGGGGTCCCGGGTTCGATCCTCGGCCGTGTCAATGTAGAAAACTAACTTTTATATATTGTGTCGGGTCAGGGTACCATGGGTTTGTGGTACCATCGTTGTTTCCGATTACTATAACACAATTGCTTTAGTTACTTACTTTGGGATCGGAACAACGTATGTATTGATGTCTAATTTAATATTTATGTATCAAAGATAAAATTAAAAATAGAGGGTATTGTAGTTCCGATTTCATATCTAATGTACGCGTAACGTTATAAAGATCTGTTTTATGAAGCTACTTAAATGTTGGCCAACTAATTGGTTATATCGTTCCCTTTACAATCCATGTTACTTACAATTTTGACTAAATTTTGCTTTCGTCAAAATTATAAATTACATCCGTTGTAAGGGACATTATTAGGTACTTCTATAATTAGCAAATTAAACGAAAAGGTGTCGTATCCAATCATGCCTCTATCGTGGACGTTAGAGCGTCTGCGGTGTGTACTTGGACGGCTTCCTCAGCCGCCGTGCCACAGGTCACTGTCAGTTGTTCTTATCGATGTTGTGGATCGTCCAGTTTACAGTAGTTGTCCATGAGTTTTTAACAGCCTCTTCGAATTTCAAACGAAAATGTTCCATTGCTCTGTCTTCTGATAAGTCTAGCACCTGTTGGGTAGTAACATTGGTGTAAGTGCGAAGTCTTTTTTTGTGAAATGCGCTTTGAACATCCTGGTGCGACCAACGCTGGATTTATCACTAGGTCGCGTCACCATTTTGTGAAACGATTAATGCTAAGAGATGCACGATAATTAAAACATTAAAAAAACTTGAGCTAAGAACGTTTAAACTTTAAATCCATTTACTGGATGCTGCATAATTGCTATATAAATTCGATTAAGTTTAAGGGTCGTATTCCAAAACTCTACTTAATACTCAAGTCAGGACTTGAGCATGGTTTAAAGCTCTCGAAATCATACTCAAGTCCCTTCCATTAGGGTCGTATTTCCAGTGCAATCCTGACTTGAGCATTGAGTAGAGTTCTAGAATACGACTCTCAGTGTTGTCAATTTTATATCGTTACCGCACTCATCCCAGCTGCATCAAGTGTATGATGCTCAAGTAGTCAATATAATTGCAATAAACCCTTATGCGATGGTGTGTTCAGACAAGTATTGGGTCTTAAAAAGAGTTAGAGTGAGAAAAAATATTTTCAGAATAGTTTTAATCATGTTCTTATATTTTGTACTTGTTGGGAGACAATAAATGATATTATTGTATTAATTACTTTTCTTCTAAAATTTTCCAACAATTACACAACACTAATCCAGAGTGAAAATGGATGATGAGAGTGAATATTCCTGACGACCTCCGTGGTCGATTGGCTTGCACGCGGTTTTCATGGTATCATCGCTATCTCTGAGGTCCCGGGTTCAATCCCCGGCCGGGTCAACGTAGAAAGGTTTTTCTATATTGTTTCGGGTTTGTGTGTTTGTGGTACCGTCGTTGTTTCCGATTCCATAACACAAGTGTTTTAGTTACTTACTTTAGGATCGGAGCAATGTATGTGATGTTGTCTAATTTTATTATTAATATTAAAGAAACTACGTCATACATAAATTTTATGTGGTGTATATGCAATAATATCATACTATGTTTCCCTTATTGCGTAAAGAAGTCGAAAATTATCGTTACTCACGAGAGTTTCCCTGAGGTATTGCAGGTCCTCCTCAGAACGTAACTCCTGTAGGCCTGTCGAGATCATCATTGAGAATAGCGACAGGATCAGGTGCCCGTGCTTACGCAGGATTCGAAACGCCTATTAAAAAAACAGTTATTATAATCATACACAAGATATTCACCGACAAGTAGCTTGCTTCCATAATTGTTACAATGTAATATAACAAACTACATATTTCGTAATATCGAGAACATTTCATCTCTACAGATATTAAGCCTCGATAGAAGTAACATGTGCTAGAAGGGACTTGTAAACTCGTTCCAATACGTTTTGCACCGGCGTTAAAACGAGCTGTTATTAGTACAGTTGGGCTGATATCAACTGGCGTGTTTCCACTTATAACCATCATTAGCAACAACTAGAGGATTAAGTGCTACCGGGTAATTTTTTTGCAAATATTTGCAACGGGCAGTATTGTAAACGAATTTGATATTTTCTCTTTTCTTATCTTGAGTCTGATATTTGCAAACATTAATATTACTCAGTTGTTTTCCAAACTTCGAGGCGATTAATTTTGTCGCAATATATATTTTATAATAACTTTATTAACAAATAATGTGACATTACATTTCTGCAACTAGCAAAACAAACAATTTTAAAAGATTCTATAAATAGTACAAAACAAGATAACACCGAAAAGCTTCCTTTAAAAATAACAAACGTTTTTTGAGGGTTTCGTCTATTTATTATCTATTGTTTACGTTCAAGTTGAAACACGCCAGTTAATATTGAACCAACTATAATAATTAACGATATAATTTACATTTTCTTGCAAAAAGACCGCGGGCAAGGCAGCCCAAAAAATCAACTACAATAATAATTGTAGCATTATGTAACATGTTTCTAATTGTGAGCCTTACAAAATGTTTCATTTCAATGAAAGTCGCAAGATCACAAATAGGAAGGTTTTACATGTTGTTACAATTATAGTTTGTTTTTGAAGAATATGTTCGGGGCAATATTTATTATTTAATTGTGGCAACAAACATACATGAACGTTGTTATTTATATATTATATTCCTCTTAAAATAGACCTATAATGCCAGCAATTTATATATTCTTTACTGCACAAAAAATACATCAGAAAACTTAATTATAGAAAACGTGAGCAAAGGTGGACTTATCTCTAAAAGAGATCTCTTCCAGCTTACCCAAGACGGTGAGAACAAAGGCCATAAGCGGGCAACACTGTGCAAGTAAAAAGGAAGGAGAAAAATAATAAACTTAGCATGTAAACAGAAAAAAGAAATAAATAAATAAAAGACACCACTTACATACCGCTTATTTGGTGCTACATTGATGTAATTGTAATTTTGGCAAATTTGGATAAAGGATGTTAATACGTAATTAATTAAGTCTTAATTCAATTATGCCAAAATTGCAATTAAGTCAATGTTGCACTAAATGAGCGATACGTATTATAAACACGTAAAATATTTGACGTAAATATACACACATATAATATAATATAACATAAACATAAAACACACATATAAGATGATTACGTACAGAGTTCAGCAAGAAAGTGAAAATTTATTAATAATTATAATAGATAAGATGGTTAATATTTCTAATGGCATACCATTAATGTCCTTTAAAACAATTTATTTCTTTTAGAAACATTTTTGTCATTGTAACTGTCGTTACTACGTTATACCTTCATAAATAAATCCCGTATATTTGTTTTGTTCAAACAAAGCAACGTTTCCGGCCCTTTACAGTTCACATGTCACGGGACATGTATGTGTCGCGTATGTGTTTTTGTAAAATAAATATACACGATTTAGAACCAAAAAATTTTTTTAATTTCCTATGTGTAATAATCCCGAAAACCCATGAACACAATATGTAGATGGTTTTACATGATACTTTAATATGCTAGATTGATTATAGCTATATAAGTTCAATGCTTTTATAATGCTAAATATTTAAAAAGCAGTTAATTGCGCCACGATAGCAACGAGGGCAATTATAATTTCACAGCCAAGTCATAGCTGTGGCATAAACCGTATTAGCGATTAGGTATTGTACTAACCGTCTCGCAATGTTCCCTGAAAACTTTGAAGTCGAGTGGTTCATTGGTGCCGGTGCCGCGCTGTCCTTTGTTGATGACGCGGATGAAGTCGTGAGTTAACACGAACGGAACGCGCTCGCGCTTGAACCCGAACTTGTGCTTGAACTTGCCCAGGAAGTGACCAAAGTCTATATGGAATAGCTGCAAATAAAATCAAAGTACAATTTGGTATCCCTCCTCTTTAACTTTCCTATCTGAGATTTTTCTCGTCGATCTTACTTATTTATTTATCTACACACATCTCATAAACCCTCTACGATGTATGCAAAAACCGCAAATTACTACCAGTCTATAGATAAACTGTTTTGTTAGAACAAATTTCTTATCTGTGAAAATGTTATTATTGCATAATTCATTCGCTCTGGGCCTTTTGGAGGCAAAAGTGTCGTTTTTATTTTGACTTTCAATTATTTTGTGAAATCTAGTTTAAAGTGGAATAGGATAGTGCTATTGTGCCTTAATCGAAGATTAAAACGCGAAATTATACGAATCTCGAACTAAAATACCCGTATCGGCCCGTTCTAAGGAATCCCGAGTCAGTCCAAGCACGCTGCTTCAAATTGCCTATCCTCTTTGTGGCGACCATATTTACAGAAGCATAATTAAACGAAGACATGGCTCAAAGGACTTGTATCCAAGCCAAAATGATTAATAATTATTGCATAATTCAAATTTCGAACATCTCCGAAAAACAAAACAATTTGATTCGACCGCAATTGTAATATCTGTCGAGATAAAGTTTTATTCGAAATGAAATGTCAATAGGAAACAATTATCGAACGATATGATAGTTGGGGCCGACTCTAGTTTGTTGTTCATTGTGTGAATTAAATAAAAATTACGGTTGTGTGACATGCGTGAGAAAAATTTTTATTTGCCGTCATTTCGCCAGTCGTGCAAAACATGCGGTTCCTGAACTCATCACAGAGAGTTTATAATATGTGTGTAGATAAAGCAGTGTACATAACTGTACATAATTAGGCATTAAAACACTCGTATGACGTTTTTATGAAACTCGCATGTCGGCTCGTTTCATAAACCCACACTCGTGCTTTAATGCCTTTCATTATGTAACAGTCACATAAACTACTATTATTGCACATCATATCGCACATCTGTAATATTAGATAAGTAATAAATTCATACTTCGCTAATTATAGTACAATATGACGGCCCGTAACGGCGCGTGTACACGCTAAGAAATTCGACGTGTCTGCTACAGAAAAAATGAGAATGGTCTTGTACAGGACAAGAACTTTGTCGGATCTAGCCACGAAAATATGTCGTGTCTGTGGCAGACAAGAACATGATGAGTATGTTCACGATACGAACGCTTTCGGGCAGACGTGTGTAGGGTAAACATGTCAGTGCATTAACGAGTCTTCCAGGTAGCTGTCGTTTTACTACCGACCGTGGGAAGAAATATGTTGATTACTAAGCAAAAAAAAAGGTGATGGCATATTATATAATATGCAGTCACCATTTTTTTAGTATTATTTTGTATAATAATAATAACTTTTTTTTTATAATAATAATAACACACACACTCAACATAGCCCCGCACTAGGGAAACCCTGTGTCGCGGGTGCCATGGACACACATATAGATAACCACAAATTACACCCAAACTCACGAGAGAAACAAATATTTCTATATAGGTCATACAAATATTTCTCCCGGCCCGGGAATCGAACCTGGGACCTCTGCGTGGCAGTCCGGCATGGTAACCGTTCGGCCACAGAGGCAGTTAGTAATAGTAGTAGTGTATAGAAAAATTTATAACAAAAGAAGATACAAGAGAATTTACTGGATTTATTCAATTTTGCAACAAAAAGATGACTTTTTTACCCTCAATCTTACACTGCAACAACATGAGGAAAGGTTTTCCAATATTTAATTTTTTTCTTTATTTGTCGTTTCTTGAAAATCTTCATTACGAATAATAAATATTTCTCTCTACGCCTCAAAAGTACGTCGTTTTTCTTTATTTACTTCGTTTACGTGTATCGTTGCTCTACTAAACTTATAAGTAAATCATGCATTTTATTAGTTCCAATAAAATTAATGCTGCAATAGTGGTACTTTGCTACACAGGTCCAGCCGTATAAACGTTCGTTTACTGACAATGCGCCCCATACAATAGCGGCAGAGCGCATCGAGTCGGGGTAGACAAGATTTTTTCTTGTCTGGCGCCGAAGCAGTGTACACAACGTCGTGTCTAGAAACGATACGAATTCTTGCATTGACACGGCGACTTTTCTTACCGTGTACACGCGCCCTAAGGGAATGACAGTATCTGCAGAGAGGGTTTCACGCTGTTACATTGTTAGTACTTATGACAATATTGTATTTAATTTAGTTCCGTACCTGAGAAGCATTACACTGTAAGTGCTATTTTTATAATTTTACAGGGGACGCGATTTTGTGTCGAAATGCAACATGTGCAACAGTTAGAATGGCTTGAAATAAAACTAATTGAATTTTAATAACATTTCGAGCTACCTTAATTGTCGTACAAACTGCTTTTAAACACTAAATCGCTTCCCCGTGAAATAACAAAAATGACGCTTAAAAACAATCTAAAATAAATTTTTAATACGAATTATTTAAGAATAAAATATCTAACTTTGTCCATAGTTTTTATATGGAAATATTTCTCTTTACGTATTTCAGAGAACCTGCTATATTATGAATTTCAACTGAACACTATTACTTATTACATTCACATTTGTCCCAAAATTTGCGAATTTCCTAGCGGTTCAACGTGGCGCCGCGACGCTCGCAACCCCTTCAGTCACCATCGGGCGTTTGTCGACGTCGGATCTGTGTCAAATTTTCTTCGCCTGTCCTTATTTCATTCATATTAATTTAAAGCGCGTGGATTGCGGGTCGCGAGAGGCGAAACACCTCACCTAAGATCGAGTCTCGCGTTGAAATACCTCGCCTTAACGCCTTGGGTTGAACCCACGCTTTGAATGATTTATATAAGTGAATGACATCTTGAAGACCCGCCGCCCCAGCGATTATGGGCTCTATATCATTGTATTGTGTGTGTACATTGTGGGCTCTATATCATTGTACAGGGAATTCTCAAAATGGAGACTTACATTAATATATTTATAAATGGCGCATCAAGTATTACCTGTCCGCTTTTCTTCACCATAATGTTATCCGGATGTCTGTCGGCAATACCGAGTACATAAGTCGCCACGCAGTAACCTGCACAACTCATTGTGAACTCTTGTATGGATTTGTTTAGGGCCGCCTCGCTAACATTATGTTTCTTTAACCATTCTGGAAATAAATAATGACACATGATAGTGCGCTTAAGTTTTTTACCAAAAAGCACAATAAGCTTGACAAATTGTACCTTGGATTGTTATCGAAAGCTCAATCAAAAAAGTCAAAAGTCAGCCGTTCAATTAATGAATTAATGAAATAATCTTTATTGCACATAAAAAATTGCAATCACAACACAGAACAGTAATGTAAGTATCACAGAGTAAACTAATGTACAACCGGCGGCCTTATTGCTAAGTAACAATTTCTTCCAGGTAACCTTGGGATAGAAATTTTAGAACTGGAAAGGAGGATGGAACTAGATTATCTTCTAAATTTTTTAGAGTTCATTCTGTCAACTAATCCATAAATTTGTTCTTTTATTATTTTTATGATTATCTTGATTTATTTAGCGATTATCGAATTAGCGATGGAACGAGTTGTATTTTTTTCAACTCGTTTTATTCGAGTCGACATGACTGCTGACTCGAGATGACTCGACTCGGTGCCTCGTCTTGCCTTGACTTGTTGGGAACAACTCAAGTTAAATGACTCGACTCGTCCATCGCTAGTCCGATTTAAACTCTACTACACGTATAAACCTGCGTTTAGATAACCAAAGTGTGATTGTATTTAGACTTATAAGCTGGTTTATTTTCGAGTATAAGAAAACGACACTCACGGAATAAGTTGTTCTTTGACATAGGCGACGCAGCGTTGAAAAGCGCGCTCTGCTTCTGAATGTTGGCGACAGTCTCCGCGTCGTCCACCACCTCGATCATGCCCACGCAATACTCCATTGATATGCAGTTGTACGGGTTCAATCTGTTTAAAAGGTAACATTGCAAATAGCGTATCCTTCAAAATGAATCAACTTACAATTTTGACGTAAAAAAAGCTATTTACATAGCTTGCATAGTTGCACGTATTATGCTGTAATGTTTCAGTAGCTGTAGAGCTCCTTGTAAAAAAAATCGTCCAGAGAAGAACAGCCACCTTACCTATTTCTGCCGCCAAGCAGTAATGTGAGCATTACTGTGCTTTGCTTTTGAAAGGTAAGGGTGCTGGTGAAATTACAGGCGCATGGAACTTGTCAACTTAAATCTCAGGGTGGCATTAATTTTCAAATAATGTTTTCACAATTCCACAATTTTGAGTTGCGACAGCATTTAGTTGCATGTGCGAAATAACTTCCTTTCATAACATCATCCAAAGTATTCAAAATGAAAACTTTTTTCAAAATAATAGAAACTAATTTGAATATTAATTATTGTAATTTGTATTTGGATTCTTATAAAAATTTCAATTTTTGAAGAAGATAATCCTTTAGCTTGTCTTGAGTCAAAACTAAGGTTATTTCAATAAAATCTTTCAACCAATCTACCTACCTACCTTTCTTCGTCTAATCTAGCTATCTTACTCCTCGAAATACTTTTATAATAATAATGGCGTTAATAAAATTGATCATCCATAATATAGTTAAGACTGATTTGACCACTGTATGGGTCCAGATGGATTTTTTTCCTAGTATAGAGGTTGTCTGAATTAATACCGAAAGTCATATCCAGCATTCTTCCACAGCCGATCCATGATCCTGAGCATCTGCAGCGTGAACATATCCTGTCGAAGGTCGTCGCCAATTTTTAGGATGATCCGGATGTCCGTGCCCGTCGGATCCGCGTTTTCGAAATCCAACATTAGAGGGCGCTTCTTGCTGTCCATTACGCGGCATTTCTCCGCCCTGGGAATATAATAATTATCATTCATACTATAATCAAAGCTTTACGCCCACAAATTTCACGCAAAATGGCTAGCCAGGATTTAAAGTTTGGGCGCTTCTAGATCCAAGGTTTATTCATCATCATCAACCTTAAGAGTTATACTCTTGTCAGTTGAGCATCTTCCAATCAGCTCTCCTATAAGCTAGCTCCTTGACCTCCTTATATGACACGACACCGGCCTTTTCCGTTATTTGGTCTACGTAACTGCGCCTAGGTAGACCTCTTCCCCTCTTCCCTTCGATTTCCTCTAAAATTGTCTTAAAGAAGTTGTCGTGTCGTATCAAATGTCCAATCATTTTCCCGCGTCTATTCTCTATAGTGTTAAGGGTCGTATAACAAGGTTTATTAAATATTTTATTTAGCGAGCTATCCTAATATTTTTATTTATTTATTTATTTATTTATTTTACCTCTTACAACTATCATTACAGGTATAACCTAATAAAATATTGTCTATCTGTCTCGCCTTCTAATATACTAAACTGAAAGTTTGTTATTCAAATACATCAAAACTACTGGATTTATTTGCACTAAAATGTATGCATGCACACATGCATAGATCACAGCAGGAAATAAACTACTTTTTATTTCGAAGACAAACAAGAACTCGGGCAAATGCTATATTTGTATATGCTATTAGTATATTGTAATGAAGAGTGAAGTTCCCGAATACCGCACCTTAGATGTGTTAATAAACACTAGGCGGAATGTTGATTCCCCACCCATGTACAGAAGATTATTTATTTATTTTTATTTTTTAACCGATTTCAAAAAAGAGAAGGGTCTTAATTCGGTTGTATTTTTTTTTCACAGTTCTGCATATTTGCGAGGCCAATTTTCACAATTGAAGAATTTTCCTATAAAATTTACCTCGTCATGTCAATTTTATAGGAAAATTCTTCTTTGACTTAATTACATCAGGTCGAAATTCAAAATTTGGGCTTCACCACGACCTGTAGAATCATATTTATATTTTATGACAGTTTAAAATTTTATGCGAAATCGGTTGAGAAACGGTCGAGTATAAAAATAAGTCAAGAAACTATTACTACTTCTTCGCTTGCCACGGTTCGATCACAGAAATATAGACGTAGAGTAGTTAGTAGGAGTAGAGCTTAGTAGCACCAGAGCTCCTTGTGAAAGAGTTCGTCCAGTGAAGTACTGCCACCTTACCTATTTCTGCCGCCAAGCAGTAATGTTCACATTACTGTGTTTCGGTTTTGAAGGGTAAAGGCGCTGGTGAAATCACGGGCACATAGGACTTATCAACTTATGTCTCAGGGTGATGGCGCAGTGACAGTTGTGACATAAAGCTCTGAGTGGCACTGCAAATGTTATGGACAGTTGCTTAACACTAGGTGCACGACTTGTTTATCTTGTTACTTGATATAAAAAAAAACGAAAAAACGTACTTGATTCGTTTGCAGATGAAACTGGGCGTGAGGGGCGAGACGAAATCGCTCAGCGTTTCTATGCAATGTTGTTCTTGTAGGTGTTGGTGCAGTGCACCGCGAGCTTTTGAGATCTCCTTCTTCTTACTTACACATTGGCTCACCCCTGTACAAAACCATTCAAAAGTAATTTTAATATTTCCAAAAAAACCAATAATAAATAATAAATAAGTCCTCGCGATCATAATGATCTGAATGGGTAAGCTTATAATATAATATGAAGCTTTCAGTTCAAAACCGGCATTTTCATCAAAGAATAAGCTTAACGAACTAAAGGAGAAAAGTTGCTAGCCTCGTAGACACGATGAAAAAATGAAAACAAACTCAAAGGTGAATTATCTCTAGAAGATATCACGTCTAGCCAACCCTAGCTGTGGTGAAGAAAAAAAGTCTGCGGGACTTTAAAGTGCAATAAATTTATTAAAGTATAAATATAAATGATGCTATATAACCTACATAAACTTAACATACATAAACATAATCTATATTAATATGAAGTTCATTGAATATCAGAATGTTTTGCAATCATGATATTTAATTATTTCTTTGTGAAATGAATCCACTAGTTTGTTATAATTATTAATACAAAGATCGAGCACTAATAAAAATTCCTTCGATCCGGCTGAATTTCAACCAGCGTCTTCGGCACGGTATGCTGAAGACGCTGGTACGAATGAATTTTTCTTAGTGTCCGACCTTTGTTTTAATTAATAAATTATAATAATATATTATAATCTAAACCAATGATTAAATGAAAACTCTCTTAATTTGCATTCGGCGAATGCTACCAATGGATTGTCACGAATGCTGGCAGGTGATTTATTCCACATGTAAGCTAAAATTGTAAAAAAGTTTGGAGTTGGATTAGGAATACAAAGGTGTTCTTGTGTCACAGATAATCCGGGAAGGTGGAAAATAAGCACTTACACTTGAGTTTATCGAGGCAGGCGATCTGTCGCATTAGACTGCTGATGTGGTCCTGGCAGCCGCGGCAGTATGCCTCCAGCATCAGCCCAAACCGTACCGACACAGAGGGTACCGACGGTACATGCATCTCCGACCTTACGAATTATATAGCATGTTATACATTTATAGTCCGTCTTTTTTGAAGACGGAGTAAAGTGACTGTTCATTGCGCAAAAGTGATTGCAGTCGATAAATATTCTATCGACTATTACTGAACACAAGTACATTTGAATTGTCAAATTTTTGTAAGGTCATACATACATACACTATTAAGAACTATGTTTATATAAAATACAAATAGGGGACGTATTTTAAAGTTTTTCATTTTAATTTAATGTATATAGTCAAATCCGGCTATTCTTGTTAAAATGTGTATGAATAAAAATTAATCTCTATACTAGTAGAACAACTGTCAAAATAAGAATAAAGAAACCATTGACTTTTTATTTGTAAGTCAATGAAAGAAACGCAATTAGTAATCATTAGAACGTCGTAACATTCACAATTCAGTGCCTATCGAGAAAACTATCGACAACAACTACATAACTATTTAAAATTTTACAAAAACTGGCAACTCTACAAATTTCATTTTACTCAGTCTTCAAAAAAGACAGACGATAGGATTTTATCATCATTAACCCTATATACGTCTCACAGTCGGGCTCAGGTCTCCCTCCAAAGAAAGGACTTGACGCGAGTTGGGGAACTTACTGTGCTTGAACTTGAGGGTGCGGTATGATATTCGTATCGAAAGATTAGAATTTAAATTAAATTAATACTAACCTGAGGTGCCAGAAGAGATAGTGTCCAATAGTCATGTTTTTGAAAGCGCGCTGCAGCAGGAACATTGAAAGGTCACACATAAGATACGACTCGTGTTTCAACGCCTGCACGAGTTGCAGCAGATACAGAAGTAGATCCTCGTCGCTAAAACAATATTACATCTTTACGAGCGGTTCAGGCTTAATTATATTTCGTCGTTTCATTCTCGATATAATATTTAACCAGGTAGTTAGTTTCCTTAACTTGCTAGGCAACACCACACGGTTTTTAGAGAAAAAAAAAATGTTTTGACGTTGATACTGCCTACCAGGCATCAACCGCCATTTTCTATCCTCATTCCTTTTTCGTGTGTGGCAACAAGCACACCTCCACAGCTCCGTTAAAATGTCAAAGCGAACAAACTTAGAAAAAATCGAATATTATAAAAGTAAACTGAAATACTTGGAAAATACAGATGCCAAACGTCGTCGGCGTTATGGGATCATAATATAATCGGACGAGTCGGACATTGATCAAGGTAAGATTTTTTCTTACGCTCATAAATAATAAAAATGAAAATATTCATTTTTATCATGTAGCACTACTTTCTACTTCCGCAATTATAATAAATGTTCGCTTTCATACATCGCAAATGTGAATCTAACCTACATTTAATAAAACATCGGGTTAACTGCGAGTTATCCCCGATAACCAAATCGAACATGGGTGAAAATCCGAACAGATATATTAATATGTGCATTTTACATGTTTTATAATAAAACTGCCTCGGAGTTAACCGCGAGTTAAACACGATAATGAAATGACTGCAACTTCTGTTGTCCCGATTTTTTCTGTTCCATACAATGAAATAATCCTTCCTTACATAAAACTGAGTCGATCAGCACTAAAAAAATTTGATAAATTTTATTCATTTTATGGACACTTACGTTTGACCAAAAAATTGCTTATGCGAAAATTGTTTAAAAAAAATATAATAATAACGCACACACTCAACATACCCTCATAACCTGTGTCGCGGGTACCGTGAACACACACATAGACAACCACAAATTACACCATACAAATGTTTCTCCCGGCCCGGGAATCGAACCTGCGACCTCTGCGTGACATTCCGGCATGGTAACCGTTCGGCCACAGAGGCAGTTAAAAATAAAGACTTAATGGTTCCTAAGACAGTTTCCTAGTATCTTCTATGGTTTATGATTTAAAAAAAACACCTGTATATACCACGGCTGGAACGAGGATTGCCCGACTCGCATAATACAAGTCTGGCCTTATAGCCCATACTTGTCAGACAATCCTTTACGTCCCTGCCTCTGTAATAATGTACTATGGTTTGCAGCGTTCTGTAGGTACCTGATCTGCGCAAGGCATTTAACGGCGAAACTGCGTACGGCGCTGTCGGCATAGGCGTAGTCCAGCAACTCCAGTGCCGACTCTACACGTAGCATGGGCCAGCTGGTGAGCATGCGCGCCACGCTGGCCGCCTCGGCGCGGTCGCCCCACTCCACGCACGACAGCAGCTTCGGTAGCAGCTCGGGTGCTTCTACGCGGAAGTATTCCCTGCCCAACAGAACACTCTTCTATAAGCGAATCTCGTATATGTCACATTTTTATTTAATTTTATACGCACTATATGTATTTTATTACATAATATTCCAATGAATTAGAGAGCTTTGGTATCTCTTTCCAGACAACGGCACATCTGTTATTCTGCCCTGTGTGTCCCTACACCTGCACACGCGAGGACCTGTACAACGCCACTTATAGTAATGTC